TTAACGAAATTTGCTTCGACGTTGATATTTTGAAAACAAAATGCGCCTGTAAAAACATAACATTTACATGACATGCTAGATGCTTAAAAAATTTCTGCTTCCCATGTTTCTATGATAACTATCATTCTGGCTTATGCCACACTGCGTAAAATGTCAAATACTAAAAATAAAATAGTGACCTCGTTTGTTTTTTTTTTAAAAGAAACTTTATTATTAATTCATAATAAATATTGTTTATCAACCAATTGTAAGTCACACGACGGACTCGAACCAGCGATCTCGTGACTGTCAGTCTTGAACGCTACCAATTAGGCCACGCTCCCAGATGAACAATGTGTCACATCTAGTGGATTTAACTGTCAGGTAAAACTTCAAAATCGATTATCTCGGTAATTTATGAACGTTGCGTCGAACTACTTCGGAAAATTCTTATTCAAGGTCCAAACTAGACGTATCATAAATATAAAAAATTACAAAAATCCAACTACCTTACCTTCTCCTTGTGAAATAAAACCATATGCCACACCAAATGATTCTAATGAACCATTACAACCTGTTTGGTACAATTCTCTCTTACCCTTACAAGCCCTGTGAAAAGGAATTAGCATGGCTGTGCAAACCCGATTATTTGTTAAGTTACTTATACAATATTTAAACCAGTACAACATAGTATGAATTTTTACATCAAGAAATTAATTGTCAAACTTATCAAAAAAATTTGTTAAATGACGTAATAATCCATAAATTTCATGTAATGAACAACTAAAAGCTATTTTGTTAAATTACAAGATATACAGCCGCCTGTACACATTTAATACTACATCTCATACTATCATTACAATCTCACTTTCGTGCTTCAGCGCATACAAAATTACTGTGGTTAACACTGTGTTTGAAAAAAAGATTGGAATCCGCAACATAATTTTATATAATGCATATATATCCAAGTAAAATTTTCATTTCATATTCAAATTTTTAAAAATCAAAATTTGTTTTAAATACTGTATATTTTGGCATCATTACATATGAGTATGATTTCTACAAGTCCAATTTTTTTATAAAAATTAATAGCTGCAATACTATAGGTAAATGTAAACTTAAATATCGAAGTTTCGATGACTATAATGGAGATAAGAAAGAAGTAAGGGGTGCCCATTATTATTTTACTATCTTTCCAACCAAAATGATGCCTTGAATTTCAATGCTAAAAAATACATGTAAATATATGACGAATTTATATATGTTCACAAATCATGATGAAATATATATTTAGGTTGAAAGTGTATCACAAACTAAAGATCTGCTACAATTCTATAGCTTGCGTACGAAACTTAACAAGCCCATACTTTCTTACCAAAAGTTCACATGTCCAACTCATTTTTTTAAGGTAAAACCCAAACTAAAATATTAACTATAATATTAAAACTATAATATTTTGGTGATAAGTTGATTTCAATCCATATGCTTCCTCTGGAAATGTATTGTTCCTATAGAATTTTTTGTTTAATATAAATTATTTTTTAATTTCTTGCAAAGCAATTACAGTGGACTTGTTAAGTTTTGGCTCAAACTGCAGAATTACTAAAAGATTCAAAGTCGTCTTTTGTTTTTAAATTCCATATTCTAAATACTACCAATATATACTTCAAAATTGTCATATATTTAAGAACATGCTTTTAATAGCACTTATTTAAATTTTAGGTTTTATTTTAACTTCAATTCACTTCTTCAAACAACATTTGCATCTATTGTAGACTCTACCCAAGGTTATATTTTTGTCATGATTGACTGATATATAACGTATCCTAAACTTTGACTGGACTTAAATTACTTTTGTTTTTTTTTCATGTTTTGAATTAAATGTATATTGTTTTGAACGTATGACTATTGTTTTCATAAATTAATGTAATTTCTATATACATTCTGGTAACAGACAGTTTCCAAGTTATTTTTCAATCCAACCAGAAAAAAAGTTCCAAATAGAGCAAAAAAATTGATAGAAATTGCATATTTATCAAATAATTCATACATTCAAAACACTGCCAATTTTTTACCTTAATATATTCGAAAACATAAGACTAGACAAATATTAATGGGCAAAATGTAAAAGTACGCTAATTGCAATAGATACATTAAAATGATACTGTAAGAACTTAAGTTAATATGATTTTGCATGTTAAAATAAAAATTGTTGCAACTTAAACAGGTATCAGATCTTAAATCCTCATATTTTTTATTTTTCTAAAAGAATCAGTCGATTTAATAAATCATATGTATTTTACAATATTTATCATGTTTGTTGGATTTATTCAGAAATGTTAAAAATTCTTCCAAAGTTATTTAACTGTTTTATGATTTAAACATCTAAAAATCTAACACAACGATATAATAAATTTACTTCCTATACATTTTCAGATTATAATTAAAATATTTAAAAAAAATCATCTAATGGAAGACATTTGAACAAAACAAATTACCAATAAAAACACTATTTATTTGTCGAGTTATTTTTAAAAGTCTTTATACAGTGTGGAGCACAACGTGTCAAAAATAAAGAGAGCATTTTGATAGTTCTAATTTAGAAATATTTTTTACATAAACCTTTGTTCTTGAAGCATTTTTTTTGAGATACAGTGTGCCGAAATTTACAAAAAAAGTTACATCTATTAAGATATTGAAATTGAATTGAATTTTGTGTCCAGAACAAATTAATAAAATGGCATTCGATCAGAAAAAATTAAGTTTCAAATCATTGCGCCTTGATACACTTTTCGTTATGTCCTTCTGATGAATCTATCATTTGCAATTTATTTTCAGATATTTTCATCACTCTGTAACTTAAAAAAGAGGGCTTCAATGGCAAATGTTTATAAAAGTAAATATTCTTAAACTCGGATGAAAAAAAACCCCTCTTTCAATTTTAGCATGTTTTTGCATAATAAGTACTACTTTAAATTTACGTGTATCATCTTTGCAAATTGTTAATTTGTATTAAAAAATAAAAGTTGCACAGAAAAGTAAAAGTAAAAAAATCGTCATTGTAGTCAAAATTAAATTTTCCTTTTGAATAATACAAACAAATGGTTTTCCAGTGGTATGCTGCGATTTGATAAGAAAATGCTAGCTTACCTATACTAGTGATTTGAGATGACGCTTCATAATGAATGCAATTTTACAGATGCATTGTGCATACAAAATTTGGAAAGTTGCGCAGCCGTTTTTGTATTCTGCGCATAATGGGCTTGTTCACCATATTTTTAATTTCATTTTATAAAAAAATTGCATCTGAATGGCAAAAACTCAAATTTCACTAAAAAAAGTAAAATTTTGAGGGTCAAAAAATTTTTTGAACATTTTCGCTCCCATATACTTTTGTATGTACCGCGCAGTCAACGAAAAAATTAGGGAGAACATTGCCTGTATATAGTGGATGCCCATTTTTTGAGCCACGCTATGGGATTCTTGATTATCTTAAAAGATACAAGTTTAGTGAAATTAGAGGAAGTTGTGAATAACATGCCGAAGGAAGATTTGAATGGCATTATTGAAAAACTGAAAATTTTAATTTTTTAATTGAAAATAATCATTTTTGTGAAATTCAAATATGTTGTATTAGGCAACATGGCACCTATCATAACAGAGATATGACTTTTATTTTTCTTATGGGTGTTAATTGGATCAATGCATATTCGGATTCAGTGTATTTTTCTCATTGCAGTGATCTTTCATATGAGACTTCGTATAAGTTTTTGGTTTCATTAAAATAGTAATAAATTAATCACGTTTACAAAGAGTGCTTTGAAATTTTGACAGTTCACTGAAATTTTCATTAGCAAATCAAATTAAAAAAAACTAGAGATGCAGTTTTTACATGAAGAAGGAGATATACTTCAGATTAATTTATAAAGTATAAATAATATATGGTTTTGCTGTATGAAAATTGCACAGTTGAATTTTGTTTAGCGCCGGTTCCGGTCGACATAAAAATTTAGAGAACTTTGTGTCACAAATTTGCAATAAAATGGGCAAACTGGTGCTAAATAAAATTCAGTAGTTGTCAATGAAAATTGAATTAAAATGTTAGAATTTTGTTTAAACTAATAGTTGGTTATCATATTTTAAAACACTTTATAGAAGTGAAAGTATCATTAGAGATTATTATTATTGTTATATTAGAAATTTCTAATTAAAATAAATAAATCTATTATGAATAATTTGCTTCTCCAAGGAAAACGAAAAAGTATACCCATATCATGACAGGCTGTGAAAATGTAAAAATCCAATATGGCACCCATAAGAAAAATAAAAAATGAATGTCATTTCTGTTCTGTTAAGCGCCAATGCTAATATGACAACGTATATGAATTTTTGTCCAAAGGAAGTCTCCTAATTGGAATTGGATAAAATATTTTCAGAAATAGGCAAAAAGAGTTCAAATTCTCCGCTCAGGTGCTAATTTCAACAATTTTGAGAAAATTATCGTGCACCACTTATAGACTCAAAAAATCAAAAGAACACCTAGCTGCCCCAGCTGCTGAAATATTATCGATTGTCAGAGAAAATTACCATGAAGAGTTGTTACATGCTCATTGTAATATTATCCATTTTTGTGTTCATTCAGGAAAAAAATATTGTAAAAATATAAGATACTTAGGTATTATCCTTGATTGAAGTAATCTCTATTACAGGTAAGTGTAAATATCAATAATCTTACTTTCATGACTATGAAATGTATAGGAAGTAAGCTTTGGTAAATTAGAAATATAATAAATTGGAAATTGTTCAAACTCATCTAACAAAATTTTACAAAAAATATTGCGATCCTTTCTTCTTTCTCATATGTGAATGTTACAATTCTCTGTTGTTACAGCAAAACTATTCCACTTTTCTAAATGAGCTTCAACGAAAATTTCATTGCTTTTCATGAATTAAATTGCAAAAGTTGAAACATCCTAAATAACTTTGGCACTATTTTTTTAATAGTAGTAATTAAACAAAAATTATAGATAATTTTCTTTATTGGTAATAATACCCCAGAATTAACAAGTCACTGTAATAACCAACCACAGTCCAAACACAAACCATAACCACGGTTGTTCAATAGCTATATACAGTTTTTAGTTTTACTATAGCACATTTTTAACATAGTTCTTTGTCCACAGCTACAAACATTGTAGAAAGACTTAGTACATTCACAATAATTTAAAATGTACAATCCGATCGTCGTCACTTCTCCCATTTTATCTTCCGACACATTGCACATTTTATGCCACTACACCAATTTAAGGTTTTCTGCCAAAATCCACAAAAAAATATCAATACGCTGTATAAGAATATGTTTTTCAATGCCAAGAAATAAATAATATCAATGCAATAGTTTTTATTATATTAGCATTAAGAGGTTGGAAATTATAACTTGACGGTTTTTCAGCATTGAAGAACATATAATTAGAAAAAAATTAATGCAAAGAAATCCATGATTTTAATGGTCAAAATATTACATAATTCTAAATCGATTTTAGTGTATACAAGGAAAAGACTAGCTTTAATAATGTAGATTATTTATACAAGGAGATTTAAATAAAACAGATTCGTGCAGAAACTGTAGTTGATGTGGTGGATTTATTAGAGATGTACATTTTTTGGCGTTGTGAAGCATGCTTCCATTTGACAGGGGACCACTTGCAGAGTGTCTTACTTGTAGACTTACTTACCGACACACAGCTAGCAGTGGGCGGGGAACATTAGGCTGTTATATCACTTTTTGCTGGGAGGGCTGTTATTATGTTGTGCAGACGTATTTTTATTATGGTTTAACTCGAGCTCTGTAAGCTTCTTCCACAACTCATCTCGTTCCTTCTCTCTCTTTTTCTCCCTATATGAAAAACAATATTTTTTGTTATATACAAATTGTGAAATTACTAGTTTTTCATTTATTTATTGTAATATTTGAAAGATCCGATAACCTCTAATACTAGTATTCTCATACAGTTGAAAAATTCAGTGGTATAGTCTTCCCGATGTCAATTGAACAACCAAGAGGTTGACAGTATGTACCAGGTTCGGTCGCTGAAGCAGCAAATCAGCATTGAAATATTTGAAAAATTTGTTACCATATTTATTTAGCCATACCCATATACAGGTGTGGTCAAACTAAACGTGGAGTAGTAGAAATGTATACGCCCAGTTGAAGAATGCGAGCGCGGGCAAACAAAATCCAAACACAGTTGCATTGGGCCACTGGGCAATAAATCTCAGCTGTTGACAAGTGGTTGACAAATTGCTCAGCAGTGCAATGCGGAATTTGGTGTGATTCAGGTAATTTTAATTTATTATAAGCACCTTCTATTAAACATTCATATTACAATTGCGAAAGGGAGAAATAGGAGGGATACTTTGTTTACTAATATTATTACAACATGTTATTTTGAAGACCTTGTGAAACGGAACAAAACAAAATTTACCATCAATATAATAAAATTGTTTGAGGACATAAATAATTAAACTATGTTGTTGGCCAAATGAACATATAATAGAAATTTTCTACACATTATATACAAATTATTATAATTTTTTACCTTCAGCAGAAAACTTTTTTAGGGACGCCTACGAGTCATTAAATTTTATTGCCAGGCGTTTTTTACATGTTCAACTGACTTCGGAAAGACTATACTTCACCTTATATTCTTAAAATAAAACAAAAAAATGTTTGGATACTGTTCTGGTTTGCTCCAAAATGTTATCAACAGGCTATCGCAATTTAATAATTCATTTTACAAAAGGTAAGGGAATCGGATTTTTGTAATTTTTGATATTTATGGTACGTGTAGTTTGGACCTTGAATAAGAATTTTCTGAAGTAGTTCGACGCAATGTTCATAAATTACCACACAAGCAACTCCACGAACAAAACCAGAACTTCATCTTCGAAAGATAATGTTATGCGCCTGGTAGTATTAGAAAGGGCTTCTCTATTATGAACTCTTGCCAAATAATCAAACCCTCAACGCGGAACTCTATGTCCAACAACTATGGCGACTCCACATGGCTATTCAACAATAAAGACCTAATCAGCGATACTATGTTCTTTTGCAACATGAAAATGCGCAACCCCATGACCAAAACGGCCATTTGAGTGTTGAATTGGGAAGTCCTGCCCCATCCATCTTACTCTTTCAATCTCACGCCTTCTGATTTTCACCTCTTCCGCTTTTTGTCAAACTCATTATTCAGTGTTTGTTTTAACAACGACAATGAGCTAATGAGTTTTTCGAGTCAAAACTGAAGGATTTCTACAGAAGAGGCATTGAGAAACTTTAATGTTGGGAGTAGGTGATAAATAATAATAATGATGGATCGTAGTTAATAATAATTTGAAAAAAAAAAACGGATATTACTTATTCCCCAACCCAATATAACAAGTTTTAGAAATATTTTCTGTAACCTCTGTATTACTTTTTTCTTTTTTATATTTGGTATATTTCCATTATAGATTTATTATTCAGTATTAAAAGTAACTATTCAATCCAGGGACAAAGGTAGCGAGAATGATAAACGGTTGCACATTGTATGTAATTGTTTTTTTAATAATGGCTAAAAAATTTTCCTATTAGGTTTGTTTCTATAGCAGTCTCCAGTAGTTTTCAATCGTCTGGAGCATGCTCATTAAGAAATTACCGGATATGCATAAGAAATCTCAAACCCTGATTGGGAAGGACTGTTCATGCAGGATTTTCAAATCATCATCAAATCATTTGTTGACAGTCATACTGGTTAGAGACTGTTGACTGCCAATCTGAGACTGTTTGGCTCTGTAGTAATTTGTTGTTTCAAATTTCAGTGTAAAATTATGTCAAACTAAACAGCCATTCTTTCAACAGCCTTTAGCAGTAAGTCTACAACCATGCATTCATAGTAAATACAATTTGCTATCAGAAATTTACTGAAGAAACAAGGATATTAGTCGCTGTCATGTTTAATTTTTTTTTAATATTTTAAAGTATTGGAAGTTTTTTGTAACTATTCTTCAATGTCTTGAATGTTCTATGTTTAATCATTACAAGGTAAGGTACAATTTGTGAAGCCTACAGGGTGATAGAAGTTCGGCTGCCTTAATTTTAACAGATGATAGAATACATTAAAATAAACAAAAAAACCTTATATGACATGGGTCCTAAACTCAACCACTTCTGAGAAAAAAAATTATCAAAATCTTCAACTTGATATACAAAAGTTCGAGTAATTAAGAGCATAGAATACCATAAAATACAATGTTTATCACTTTTTTGAACTTCTTTATGCTTAATTCTACAAAATAATTAGCATTGCAATAAATTTAAAATTCGATAAAATTCATACCAAGCAATGCGAAACGGCGCGGCAGATAACACTAAGCTGTCCAGCAATACGCAATTCAGTTGGTATCTGGATTGGACCGTGTCTGAATGTTTTTTGTATACCACTATTTCCTTTTTTTGAGGTGTTTTCCAGCGAATGTGCGATAATTGGATTTGAAGGTGTCGTGCGTGCATCGAAAATGGTGGTGGACATTTTGAGCATATGTTTTAGTTTTTTTGTACTTGTGCATTTAAAAATTACTGAATTTTGCTTTTTGGTAAGTACCTAAATTATTTTTAATACCTAAGTATGATTTAATTACATATTTTTCAAATTCATGATTTGATTAAAAGTCCTGTTTTAAGAGATTCAGAATAACTAAAATTCGAGCTAAAATTTAGGCACAACATTATATTCGCACTACAAAATCGATATATTTTATTTTATTTATTTACAAACTGGAAAACAATTGTCTTGAAATTTACTAAATGTTTCACAATAATAGTCGTTTACATTCTGTCCGTAGGACAAGTGTCTGTCGTGTGCACACGTGGTATGCATCAAGAAACTCCCCAATATTAATACTCTCTGTATTTTGAAAACTGTTAATCTTACGCCCCTGTATATATAACTTTTTTGTTCATTTATGACTACTCTATCTCATGCTAAAGTAATGGTAGTCAAACTTCTTACACCCTGTATTATATCAATATTTGCCAGTAGATTGTAAAATATTGTCCGTTTCCTCAAAAAGTGATTTCTCTTATTACTAAATGAAGTAATTTAAAATCTTGATAACCATAACTAAAATGTTTTAATAGTTTCTTATTACAATGAAAGTTGAATGAAAATCAAGGACTTATGCAGCGGTCGGCAAGCCGCGGCCCACAACAGTTTGTAAATAAAAGTCGGAATTATTTCAATTTCGGGCCAAAACTGTTTGCTCAGCAATTAATTACAATTTTTGGCAGCACTTACTTATGTGAATAAACTTTTTCAATTCTTAATTACAGATAAAATAAATACTGTTCCCGTCTCACAGATCAGCATTTAAGTACCATTCTACGAATTTCTATGACAGACATGAAAGCAAACATTCTAGAAACAGCCATCACATAAAATTTTGATCTGACTCGCATGTATAGTTATTTTGAAATTCTCTTTTAATTTGTCTGTTTTTTTCTTATTTCTTTTTGTCATTGTTCCTACTTATTAACAAAATTTAAATAAAATGATTATGAGTAAAAGTAAATATTTGTGTTTTTGCAGTTTTAGTATCATGGTATCTATTAAAAAATTATAAAAAAGTGTGACCCATCTTTATTTCATTTGGCCACTGGACTAAGGGATTATGAAAAATATATGAAGGGGCAAATATATTGTAATACTGTAAAACTTACTTTTGCCTCTCTGCCTTATAACTAACAGTAAGTTCGTCGAACAATTTTGAGTTCATTTCCATAAAAGTCTTGAGCACATTATATACGAGTGCAACAATAGTTTGGTTCCAATGTTCCTTAGATATACGGTAAAGCGCAGGAAACATGATTGGCATGATTACATGATTATTCTCTTCCATTAATGACATAATATACTCGTTGTTCCAGAAGTACAAAGCCCGCTCTGCTACCTGTAAAGATAAAAAATTTATCAATAAATATGTATCACAAACTATTTCCTAATGTTATTCATTAAAGTGCATATAAATCTACGTGGTTTTCGAGTTGAGCACGAACTGCGGGCACACGGCGTGTCCACCTCATGTGGGTTTTTTCGACGAACGCTTTGAGTATTCACAGTACACATTTGGACGGGGGTGTGAGAAACATGATTATCTACAATGCAAAATGTCTACTAAAATGTTCGTGGGTTTCCTTTTGGATCGCGGTAGGTTCTTCAAAATGAATAGTTCAAACGCACATTGGACGAGCAACGAACGTGCGGCGCGCTAACAGCGCGGGTTGCGTAGCATGCAGATGTATACGTGCCTTTGGATTTTTCTTTATTAAGTGTTGTATAGGATGTGCCACTTGAAAAACTAAGACGTATTCTGTACCTGTACAAGCCATAGGCGGATGATTCTAAAAGATTCACCTTCACATAAATATATTTTTTTATTTTAATATTTGTAGAAGGCTTTGTTGCAATAAAATTATTCAATTTTAGAAACAAAAAATTGAGTGCAGTATAAGGAGAAACAATTTTTTGATAATTTTTTCTTATTCTTTTACCCCATAAAGTCAATCGTTTGATCAGATATTAACAATTTTGTTTCTTTCTTGAAAAGAGTAGCACTCTAGTTTCAAATCCAAATTTTTAATAGCAATCAATATCTTGCATACTTACATAAACATTATAAAAGAACAATAATTAAATTATCGTATACTTTCCAGGCTTAATTGGAAGTAAATTTAATTTTACGATTTTAAATAAAATGTCCACTAAAAATAAGTTAAACTTCAAATAAACGGTTGATACTATGTAGTAAGTGAATAAAGAATAAATTATCCGAAATTTAATTGTACCCATTGAAAAACTTCTTTATACAACACTGATTTTATTGTGGCAAAGCGTGTGACGCTATCTATGTGAGGTCACCAGAACTACATAGTGGGAAGCCTTCCGAGTGACTAAACAAAATTTCATCAGTATATGTGTATCTACCACAAAGTTACAACGTTTTACATGAAGTTAATTTTTGACAGTTGTCAAACTCACATTGAACAAGGTACAGCAATCAAGTTCTGTTTTAAAGCCGGCTAACCGGCTATCAACCGTACATGGGCTGCTAACATTCTGATGGTGAATCGATCATCAAACTTCAGTGCACTCCGACGTTTTGGCTCGTTCGGCTTGTGCGGAGACGTCTCATCCTCTTGTGGTGGTGCATGCTGTCTTGGCCATCACAAAACTTCCTAAACCACAGGAACACAGTCTGACATAATACACACTTCTCACTGTATGCTGTATATAACAGTTGACATGTTTCCGTAGCTGTTTTACCAGGTTTAAAACATAATTTGATTGCTGTACTCTGTTTAATGTGCATTTGACAACTATCAAAAACTCGCTTCACGAAAAATGTTATAACTTCGTGATCGATACACGTATAATGATGAAATTTTGTCTGGTCACTCAGAAGACTTCCCATTACATAGTTCTGATGGCCGCACATAGATAGCGCCACTAACTTCGCCATAATAAAGTCAGTCTTAAAACTTAACAGCCAGACCGTGTATAAACATGAAGCAAAAAAGTTACTTAACTTACATTGACAAACTTTAAGGGATGATTCTATGAGTCATTTTTAAACTAAAAAAGCTATATGGCTATGCTGCCGTGATTAGCAGTAACGCAGTTACTATAGAAGAGCAATAATGGAGAAAAACATCATTTTGTTTTTTACCCTTAGTAACATAAAAGACTGGCACGATTTTTATGTCAAAAAATAGTTATTTTCCTCAAAAACTTAACTACCTTTTTTCTAAGCAATGTGTAATTATGCATTTTTACTAAGTATGACCTACATTTTTGTTGGGTATGGCAAAATAAGGGTCCTTTATCTATGGTTTGGATTTGAGTGGTCATGAGGCATATTTGTTAAGTTCTATGGATAATAAATTGAATTTTATGCCAGTATGTGAAAATTTCATTTTTAAAATTTAAAATTCATTACGGCCGAAAATATAGATAGTGATTCATACATAATATAGAAACACTATTACCGTAAAGTGTATAAAACTTAAAATGATTTTTATAACGGTTCAATATTATTTGCTTATGTTAAATGATGTGCCGCTCTCTTTGCACATCGACAGGATCTATAACAGTCATAGACTGAGTTACACTGAACGCGATTTATTTCCTANCAATATTATTTGCTTATGTTAAATGATGTGCCGCTCTCTTTGCACATCGATAGGATCTATAACAGTCATAGACTGAGTTACACTGAACGCGATTTATTTCCTATCTCTGTCTATCGCACTTATTACAGATAGGGAAATGATCTTTTCAGTGAGTGTAAACCGACGTAAGTAGAATTCGAGTTAGCCGTAGTTAGAAACGTCAAACTATAAGCCATATTCCATATTTTCTACATCTTGTTGCTTTTACGTATACACGCCTATGGATTTTCGATCCCTGCACACCTCAACCTCCTTACTAGTCCAAGAGCTAGCGATGAATCACTATCTATAATTTCGGCCATCGAGTATAGTTTTTCATGAAATCTCATTTCTATGAAAAAATGCGAAGTTTACAAATAGCTTATATGTAAAATAATGTAGTAGGCTCCTGTCAAAGGATAATCTGGAAAATTTTCGATTCACATAAGGTTTAATAGAAAAGCGACAGTAATAATTGTGAAATGAATTACTCTAAAGAAGAATTATTAAATAAATAATAGAACAATTAGTAAAACTCATGGTAACTGTTTATTGACAAGTATTTACCAAACTAATAATCCAGATTTACAAAGATATCCTCATACAAAGTGTTTTGTAAACTGAAGGAGAAGTTTTAAAGAACGGCAAATGTAAATTATGAGAAAACAACAAGAACACACGCATGCAGTAATCAGGATAGTTAAATTGACATTTTGGGATGTGCAGTCCATAATCCATCTACAAGTGTCAGAGAAATTAGTGATGAAATTAGTATTTCCAAAAGTGTGGTTAATAGAACGTTAAAGAAAAACAACTGCCACCCCTACAATTCTGAGCATCACCAATTCTTAACACAGCAAGATTTTCAGAAGCAAGTACATTTTTGTGAGTGGGCAACTATAAAGCTACAAGATGAAATTTTTTTTTCAAAGGTGTTATTTACTGACGAGTCATCATCCTTTGCCAATACTGGTCGAGAGAATCGACAGAATTATCACCATTACGCCGATCATAATCCCAGATTAATTAGACAAAACGATCATCAACACCGCTATAAAGTCAACGTTTGGGCGGGAATATGCGGAGAATATGTCATTGGACCACATTTTCTTGAAGGAAACTTAACTGGTAATGGGTATTTGCAATTTTTACAAAACGACTTGCTCCAATTGCAGAGACATATTCCTCCGGATGACTTAAACAGTCAGTGGTTCCAACATTATGGTGCCCCTGCACATTCCACTCAAGCAAGAATTTTCTCATTATGTAAATTCATAGAAAAACTGTTTCAGGTTAGAGAATACTTAAATGGTTTGTATCCAGATAAGTGGATAGGTAGAGGCGGTCCAATTCCATGGCCTCCCCGATCCCCAGACCTGTCGTCATGATTTTTTTTATGGGGCTATATAAAAGACAGGGTGTATAAAACTCCTCCGACAGATGTAGAAGATTTACGGGCAAAAATAAGAAATGCTTTTTTGACCGTAACTCTGGAAATGCTTCGAAATGTGTCAAGCAATTTTCGTCGTAGAATTGCTCAATGTCTAGAGAAAAATGGCATTTTGAGCGGTTAATTACTAATTTAACTAGGTCTTTATTACTTTTGTTAGAAATGCACGATGTTAATTTACTGTTTTGGATACTGCATGCGTGTTTTCTTGTTGTCTTCTCATAATTTGCATTTGTTGTTCTTTCAAACCTCTCCTTCAGTTTTACAAAACACTTTGTACGAGGATATCTATGTAAATCTGAATTATTAGCTTGGTAAATACGACTTGCCAATAAACAGTTACCATGAGCTTCTCCTACGGCGTACACCATATTTACTAATTCTTCTTTAGAGTAATTCATTTCACAATTATTACTGTTGCTTTTCTATTAAACCTAATGGGAATCGAAAATTTTCCAGATTATCCTTTGACAAGAACCTACTACGTTATTTTACATATAAACTATTTGTAAATTTCGCATTTTTTCATAAAAATGAGATTTCATGAAAAACTAATGGATTTTGGTATGGGAGCAGGTATAGCAAAGTTGTAGAGAATTTAATTCTGTATCTCATGGTATGAAAATATACAGGGTGTTGCATTTAAAAAATTTGATTTTTCAATTTTTCAATTGTCAATTTTGACATGATATTTTGGTGACCCTGTATAACGCAGGCCAGTTTTTGGAGCATGATTCGGAAGAGTCATACTTTCTAAACATCTGATAAAAAAATTGTCTTAGTAGCTATTAGTATAACCTGTCAGTATCAGAAAATGTAAGCAGCCAATATCGATTAGAAAAACCTTTCAAGCGAGATATCTCAAAAACTGTGAATATTTGAATAGAACTATTCTACACAAAGTACCCTTTATTTTTGATGTAGAATCCGAAAAAAATATAAAACATGTGTGTTTCCATTTAAAAAACCAAAGTTGGTGTCTGGTCAAGAAAAGTGAAACACCCTGTATAGTTGAATATATTTTTAATTTGTACATTCCGAGAAATGTGGCAACACAGTAAAAAGAAAAATTCATATATTCCTCAATTTAACATAGATATTGGACTTTCCTGCACTAGTGGGACACGCTGTATATACAAACACCACTGGCTGTTTTTAAAATTCTATTACTACTTATAACTTTTAATGGCAATGAGGAAGATGCATTGCATCAAATTTTCTTTTGAAGCAAAATTTATTTAAAGTGCAGAAAATTACTATAAAAGAATGTTTCTATATGTAAAACCCCTTTAAATTTAACTATTAATATGTAATTAATTATTAAAATATTGAATATAATTAGGTGGGCGAAAACGGTCCCTAATTGGTCAAGCAATTTGTGACGTCAGGATCCGGTATATGAGTGTTAAGACTGTCAAGACGCGGGAGGCTGGCGCTGTCATTGCATTGCTGTTATTTAATCTTGTGTTGAATTAGTTTGTGTTCGCATTGAATTCTGAGTAGTTTTGAGTAGTTAGTTTTAGGTGTATAAATTTAAAGACAAGTTTTGTTAATTTTCTCTACGAACATTTTCACAATATCTACCCAGGCAGCTTTAATGTGTGGCGGCTTCAGGATCAGAATTACAACACGAGAACGTGAAAAACATAACAGTGTCTGAACATAAATATTATAGTACCCATGTGTAGTTCCACAACACTAGCTGCCCCCAACAAACTATTTAATGTACCAAAGGATGAGAAAATGAGGAAGAAATCATGCAAACATATTTTATAGAACATCTATTTTTGACAAATTATCAGATTGTTCTTGCACAAATCCAGCTTCTGTAGCCATAGAATGTACAATTTTTAAAATAATTAACAATATTGTGTTAAGTAAAAGTAAATAATATAAAATCTATCCGGCACACGTAGTTTGCATAAACACAAATGAGTAAGAGCGAGACAGACTACAGAACACGACTCTACACGACTCGTTTAATTTGGACTGATACTGGATCGTGAGGTAAGAGTCAGCCGTCTTTGTTTAAGACTGCGTTTTAGTGCATAGAGAATTATTTTGAATTTATATATTTTTTTATAGGAAAACTATTAATTAAAAATTTAAAATGTATGTGGCAATTGACTATTTATGATGAAAGGAATTTAATAAGAAAAGAAAAAAAATGTGAAACTTCCCCATTACAAAAAAGTCCCATTTTATTAAAAAAAAGGAATTTATTTTTTTTTTTAATTTTTGCTCTTAAATATTTTTAATACAACGACGTATATTCATAAAGTTTAGAAATTATTACTAATTTTAGGGGGTATTAAAAATTCAAAAGAAATGGATCAAATATTTTGCTGTATTTTGAGATACAAACTCACCTGGAAATGTGGACTGGAAACACATCTTGAAATCTGCCTAAACAGCGGCTCTTGAATCCTTGTGAATTGCGACGGTTCTATGACATCAAGAACCTCCTCAATTTCTCCAAGAAACATCACCTCTTTCTGGCTACAGGTTTTGGGCCAGTATTTTAGTAGTCCTCGAACTACTGGTTCAGTCAATGTGGGATCCTTCTCCAAAAATTGGACGACGCAGTAGGCTAGCTGTGCATGATACAACGACAGACACTTAACCTTATGCAAAGGTATCAGTACCTTCACAAGAAATTGCTTGTGCTCCGCCTTCAAAGGTAATGCGAACCCATTTATTATGGAACCCAAAATTTCTAGAAGTTCACCCACACCATTAAAATGTTCAGTCTCATACACAAACCTGTAAATGAATTTTCTTATTACTATCAAAAATAAAGGAACCATTTTATCGTTATACACTGTGTCTCACTTTTGATGGAACCACACATCTTAGCATGAAATAATTACTTGTAATGTAAAGTGATTAAATATTCTGATATAAACAAATTTTATTCTAGTCATAAAGCGAGGTTCCATGAAAGGTGAAACTAGTGGTTTAAACTTTTTCATCCAACTTTAACAACAGGGAGGTTATTAAAAAAAAACAATGATACAGTAGGACTTCGGTAATCCAAGTAATAATTATCCTTAGATAATTGTGACAATCGTGAAATAATCCAAGCCTCAGTTAGTTAGACATATGTAAATGTAGCATGGATGAAGATGACAAGATAGAATGTCAAGGACCTGTAGTCAAATTACAACCTAGACTAACCCTGTTCTCATTTCAAGTGTTGCCGCAGTGATACTGCATACATTTGATGTAGTAATACTACATTTAGAAATAGAGACTTTTTTGATGCCTTATTTTTTTATGACAAATTTGCAAAAAAAAATATTTTTTTTTTAATAGTTTACATTTTTAATTCAAATCAAATGTTTTTCTGGCTACATTATTACTGCAAATGGATACGTTACATTAAAGAATTTGTCAAAAGTTCTGGTTTTGAGTAATTTAACTAATAATAATAATAGAATGTATTACTGCTGTATATGAATAATAGCAACATTCGTATCCATAAAACATTTTAGTTTTTTTTTAATATCTTCCTTTCTTGCAAAATATCAAATCATGTATTTGATCTTAAAATGATATGACTTATTTCTACCAAAATAAAATTATTTATTGTATTTTCCACATTACTGATAAGTTACCCGTTACTTACGGTAACTTATGATTGTTATCTTACCCAGAAAATACTGGCAATTTAACACCTGCATTATGATAGTAAGCTTAAAAAAATTGTTTCTTTCATCAAATAAATATCTATATCAACATATTTAAAAATAATTTTCCATTATACATTATAATGGAAAAGAATTTTTAATTGTGTAGATATAGGTAGATATTTATTTGATGCAAGAAGCATTAATGAAACATGAACTGGATTTATATAAAATAATCATTTTTTATTTTGTTAGTAACATTATTTTTTTTTAATAAAGGCATCACAAATTTTAAACATTATAAGTGTTTTTTGTCAAATTTATCGAAACCCATTTAACCTTACTTTTTATGTTATTACCCTTTCTTATGTGAATGTACGAGGTGTTTCGGTAATAATGTCATCAATTTTAAGGGAAAATAGGGAAAAATGAGTAGAATACGAATATGCGATCAAAAACATTTTAAAATGTATTTTACGCTAAAAAAATATCTTCATAAATCATTATTTAAACCCTTTTTTGGACTAGGCCTGACCGCTGACCTACATGGTGTAAAGCGCCTGTCGCAATACCCCATTCATAGCCTAGCTGGGTGTATTGGCCGGCAGATTTCGATCTGCCGAGTCAAGCATCACGGACGTGGGCCGGAATTTGGATGGGTAACCTAAGGCAGGCTCGGAGACGTGGCTGTGGCAGCCTACCAGAGACCTGGGTCGCCCAACATTTACCGCACGCGTGTGGTCCCCGATAAATGGTAATGAGAGCAGAGCAAGAAATCTCTGCAACTCAAGACCATGCTATCATACATAAACTGTACGAGACTTTGCCACCAAGCCATCCGTGTAGTAAATAAGATGGTTTGAAGAAAAGTACTCGAGTAATGAAGGAGGGTGTACAAAGGGCCTAATAAGGCCTAAGTGCCGTGGTGGAAGACAATTCCACCACCCCTCCGACATACATACATACATACATACATACATACATACAGACATACATACATACATACATACCCCATTCATAGTTGTAAGCAGTTGTAAAATAGACTAGTTGTAGATATTAGGTAGTAGGTGTGAAGTACGCGAGTATAAGGGAATAGTGCAAGAGTACTAGGTTGGCGGAAAAACGAGGAATAAGAGGTGGGGTGTGTTGGAACCATTGACCTAGTAAACTATGGACTAGGTCTAGAAAGAGAGGTCAATCACGCTGATGTGTGCAAGGCAGATGAAGCTAGTGGAGGCAAATATCGGTAAAGCAAATGATGGTACATGGGTATACCGGTACAAAATACTGTAAACAAACCATAGAGTAAAAGTCATGTATTGACATTATTGATTGATTTATTGAATATTTGTGTGATTTAATTAGTGTATGTGAAAGATTCGTAAAAATTAAATATGGTGCAATCGTGTTCTGCGATAAATTGCGTAAAGAGACGTTTAAGTGGAGAAAAAATTTAATTTCATAGGAAAGAAGTTATGTTGGTATAGTTTTTCCGAAGTCAATTGAAGAACCAATATCTTCAAGGTATGTACCAGGCTCGGTCGCTAAGCAGCAACTCGGCATTGAAATATTTGAAAAACTTGTTCCCACATTTATTTAGCCATACCCATATACAGATCTAGTTGAACGAAAAGTGCAGGTGGTAGAAATGTATACGCTCAGTTGAAGAATGAGCGTGCAGGCAAAGAGCAATGCGCACTGTTTCGCTGGTCCATTGCGTTGTCAAAATTCAGTTGTCGACTAGTCGCCTAGCAGTGCAGTGCGGGAATGCGGAATTTGGTGTGATTCAGATAATTTTAATTTATTATAGGCACCCTTCTATTAATCATTCATATTACAATTGCGAAAGGGAAAAATAAGAGGGATATTTGGTTTACTAATATTATTACACCATGGCATTTTGGAGAGCTTTTGAAATGGAACAAAACGAAAATAACCATCAATATAATAAAATTGTTTGAGGACATAAATAATTTAAATACGTTGTTGGTCAAATGAACATATAATAGAAATTTTCTATACATTATATACAAATTATTATAATTTTCTACCTTTAGCAGAAAACTTTTTTTTAGGGATGCCCATGAGACTCATTAAATTTGATTGCTCGTTTTTTTTATGCATGTTCAACTGACTTCGGAAGAACTATACCAACATGTTTATACTTTTCGCATCTTTCAGAAGATCCTGAAAATCTGATGATAACTTATTAGATTATATTATTTCTCCCATTCTCAAAATAAAATGTCATTTTAACGTCAAAATTTTGCCGCTTTAAATGTGTTACTCTTCAAATTATTTTTTAACATCAAACCGAATATAAAGAAAAAGTTTTAACTGAAATGTACTTATAATGTGCTCCAGCAAAAATTCTCTTCAAATAATATGTTGAACGAAGAAAGCATCGACATAGTTTCAATTTATACAGTTCTGCAAAGCAAGAAAATATGAAATATTTGAAACAACTACGTCAGAAGAGCTTGCAGTAATTTTAACCGATCGAGTTTACGATATGAGGAAAATAAATGGAGAAATACATAAATAAGGCATTATAAAAACTATTTGGAATATTATAG